GGGTATAATGTGGTTATTGTATTTTTTTGTATTTTTTCTGTTTTTGATGAATGTTTCTAACTTATAATTATACAAATTCTATCTGCTCACCATACAAACATTTTATGAAATTGTCCAATCATTCGTCCTGATGCGTCTCAGTAATCCAAGTAGAAAAAAACTAAAAAGAAAAAATAAGTAGGTCCCCGAAACGTTTCGTCTCTCCTTCAGTCTGAGGAGTTTCAGGTGAACTCAGCCTTATAAGCACTGCCTCCACCTGGACAAATAGGTTAGTCACATGCAAAAGAGGGACATCAGCCAAACAATAGGCTTGATTAGCTCTGTTGTTCATGGAGGGTCATGTGCCCCATCACCTGACTATCATTGAAAGCTGACTACAGAAACCATCTGAATTTTCATTGTGTTGCAGACAGAGTGGCATCTGTCCTTGAAGKCTTCAACTTAAATCATCTGTTGGTGGACAACGGGCAAGTAAGATCCTKCAGAGGGCACAGACCCAGCTTTTGAATGAACGAGTAAGACAGACCAACTTCACCATTGAAGCTATAGAAGCCAAAGAAGAACACATCCGACAAGAATTAACAAAACATCTAGATCAGACCACATTCCAACAGGTTATGGATTTTACAGAAAAGGCAGGTTTAGCTCAGRATATCAAGTCCAAGACCCGACAACAAAAGAAGTTCACTTTACTGGTAACTTGACAGTCCCTTTGTAATCCCAACAACTCACAGAAGGRAGAACAGRACACCGGAGCACAAGCAAATGCCAGGGAGACAGAGAAGTGGCTGAAGAATTTATCTGACAGAGAACTCACCCAGCCAGAAACCGAAAACCTGTCCAGAGGACTGAACTTTGRGGTCGCACCAAGAAGAATTCCTATGGTTGAGATGATCACAGCCACAAAATCAGCCATTCGCAACAACAAAATCCCAGAATTTGAAGCAGAACAACTTGGGAACAAAGTTTCAGCCTGTCTCAGCAATGCCAAACCACCACCTTCCAACATCAGTGGAGAAGAGAGAGACACTCTCACCACCCTCAGCAAGGACAAGAACATCATCATCCTCCCAGCAGACAAAGGAAGGTGCACAGTGATTCTGAACCAGAAAGACTACCATGAGAAGGTTATGACACTCCTTAGTGACTTGACCACATAGGAGCCACTGAAAAGAGATCCAGGAAGTGGATACAAGAAGAAGTTGATAGAGTGCCTGAAAAAGTTAGAGCAGGACAAGGCTATTAACCACATTCTGTACCACACACTGTACCCAGGTGAGGCCACTCCTAGTCTGTTTGGTTTACCCAAAATTCACAAACAGGATGTTCCGGTAAGACCTATTGTTAGCAGGATTGACTCTGTCATTTACACTGTTTCCAAATATCTAGCGTCAGTACTTGGTCCATTAGTTGGCATGTCAGATCATCACATACAGAACACCATGGACTTTGTGAACAAGGTGAGGGATGTCATCATGGAGACGGATGAAACTATGATCTCCTTTGATGCCACACCACTCTTTACGTGCGTTCCTGTTGATAAGGCGGTGGATGTGGTCTGTGTAAGATTGAAATCAGACACCACTCTTAGCAGTAGAACCACTCTTTCCACAGAACAACTGTGTCAACTTCTGAAACTGTGCCTGGAATCAACTATTTCACATTTGGGGGGGCAATACTATAGGCAGAAACATGGGTGTGCTATGCGCTCCCCAGTTTCCCCTATTGTTGCAAACCTGTATATGGAAGAGGTGGAAAAGAGAGCTCTGATGTCCTTTACAGGGACACCACCAAGCCATTGTTTGTTGATGACACCTGGGTAAAAATTAAATCCCAGGAAGTCCAACATTTCACTGATCACATCAACTCTGTGGATAAATACATAAAGTTCACACGAGAGGATGTAAAAGACAGCAGGTTGGCGTTCCTGGACTATGATGTCTCAGTTTCGGATGGAGGGCAGTTAGAAACTGACGTATATCGCAAACCCACACATACAGACCACTATTTGCGCTTTGATTCCCATCACCCACTGGAACACAAGTTAGGAGTGATCAGAATTCTGTACCACAGAGCAGCCAGTGTCCCCACAAACACAGGAGCCAGGGAGAAGGAGAAGTCACACACAAGACAGGCCCTGGAGCATTACAATGGATATGCAGTTATTTGGAAAATAGGAAACAGTTTGAACAAGTACATGATGTAAGATCTGAACTCGGTGGAATCACATGTGGAGTTCCTCAGGGTTCTGTACTTGGACCAAAATTGTTCATCCTAAATGTGAGTGACTTGGTTAATGTGTCAGGGCTCTTTAAAATAGCTAAATCAATTGCATTGCTTTACAAAGTAAGAGACTTGTTTAATGATAAAGCTGTATATATGTTWTGCAACACATTAATTGTTCCACACTTGGTCTATTGTGTTGAGATATGGGGGAAAGCATGTAAGACTATTACAAATCCTGTTTTTGTTTTGCGGAAAAGGGCTATAAGAGTTATCACTCGAAAAAACTACCACTATCTGTCTAATATATTATTTTGTAAACTGAAACTATTGAAATTCTATGATTTGGCTGACTATAATATTTTGTTAGTTATGTATAAAGCACACCGAAATGCATTTCCTTTAAACATTCAGATAAACTTTGTGAAGAGAGAGAGAGCTGTTATAATCTAAAGGGAACAGAGATGTTCATGAAACCTAAATTTAGAACCTGTTTGAGAGAACGATGCTCCTCAATTCAAGGAGTGAGATTGTGGAATAATTTAGAAGATGATGTTAAAAGTGCCACATGTACATGTTTAAGAGAATGATGAAGACTAGACTGTTAAAAAAATATGAAATGTTTTAATACATAGCCATTCAATTTGTTGTTCTAAAAATACTCAATGTTTTGTTTTAACTGAAGAAATACAGTTTGAATTTATACTTGAGAAAAAAAGGGGCAGATATTATAAGATTTTTTTCTTCGCTCTGCCGCCTTTCATTTCATTTTATTTGTATTTTCTTTTTTTTATTGTACATAAAATTTTGTTTTATGGAATGAATAAAGTTTGAAACAAAAATAAAGAGCCAGAAGCTAATTTCAAGGAGTTAAGTTAGGTATGAGGCAAAGTCTACTTTA